CTGCGAGTATTTGCACAAGAACACTGACTTTGTACTGTACAAAATCAGTGGTTCTTGCACAAATACTCCGACGCTCCCACTCAGGGATAAGCCCTCTTGCGCAAGTATTCTTGCGCAAGGGGGCCAGTGTAGACAGCCAAGTTAATTTCTTGTGCAATGGTTAAAATGGCCATTGGAGCTTTCTTGCGCAAGAGAGCGTCTACACTGGCACAAATGCTTTTGTGCCAAAGATGTCTTTTGCGCAAAAGCATCCATGCCAGTGTAGACGCTCTCTTGCGCAAATACTTTTAACGGAAAATCTTTTCTGTTAAAAGTATTTGTGCAAAATCATGCCAGTCTAGACGCAGCCTGGGTGACTGTAAAAGTGAAATAAAGGCTATTATATTTTATTCTTATTACTTCTATGCAGCTAATGGAGCTGAGACACTGAGTAGAAATCTATTTCCTGCTTCTCCATCAGTAATATAATTGTCCACTAAATTTCAACCAGTTACACCTGTACAAACTGCTTGATGGGAGTGGGGTGAAGGTCCACAGGTGTCACTGGAACCATAATTTAAAGATAATGGACGAATGCTGGTGTATCTGAAGGACATATCTAACAGAATGTTTATTACAGATGATAGATGATGTGCAAGAAAGCATGAAGATTAGTTTCCAGCTTGTGGTTGATGCTGACAATTTTATAAATAAATGTGTTATCTGAAAGCTGTCATATACTTGATATGGCAATCAATGAGTCATTAGACATGGAATTCCACAGTGTGCCAGTTTCACAAGCATTTCTCAGAGCAGACCTGCACTTTACCTTATTTAATTTACATGAGAATAGAACTTTTTTCTGGGTTTAAACACTTGGTGTTGCTGATTTTAATACAAACTTTGAAGCATCGTGCTAATGCTTGAGAACCACAAAGTGAAATTGTGCAGTCTACTTTTATCCATGTCAAATGAGGTGAAAGTGTTAACAGAATAAATGCTGAACAATTAAATGTCTTCTGATTTTTCCAGTTTAAGGACATGGATAAGCTGCTCCATTCATCAGCCCTCCCTACCCCCACAGAGCCCCTTTGGTTTCATTTGGGCTCTGTGTGGTCACTGGGGTCCACTCACACAGAATAGCTTGTTAGTCCTTAAAATGATAAGAAAACTTGTTGTTGTTTTTTAAACAGCCAACATTTTCAAACTTAAAAATAAGAGTCACTTAACTTTAAAAGTTACTGAGCACCTCCCACAGCACCTCTGAAAATCAAGTGTCTTTTACTTCAGTGCCTAAATATGGACCCAAGTTGGATCCTACATTTGAAGAACTTTGGCAAATGTTATTAATATGACAGTATTCCTGTAAGCCTGATGGCTGGCTCTGCAGTAAGAAGATATTCTCTGGGATTTCACTAGGTAATTAAATTGCTTAACAAAGTGATATAATCCCTGTTGAATGTGATGCGTTTATTACTGAGAGACTAGCTGCTGAATTCTCACAAAACTTTGGACTTTTCTTTAAAAGCTTTAGCTTGAGTATTGTGAGTGGATGGATAAAAGGTAAAAAGCCTTTTCCAGATTCTTCGTTCTTATTAAACTTTCAAAATAAGCTCTAATTTACGTTAATGAGGGATATATACTTTTTATAGGGTTTATTATAATGTAGAAAAAGCATCTGAATATTTTTATATTAAAATTCTGGTTGTTCTTTTTGCTTGAGAAATATTAGGAATGTCAAGACTGTTCTTCTTTATGGGATGTCTGAAAGAACTCATATTGTTACTGCTTTCATTTTTATTAAAGAGATGAGGGTGTTGAATTTTCAATGTGGCTTTTTTTCTCAAAAATGTTAAATAGTCATTGAAATTAAATGTGTTAAAAAAAACCCCAACTCCGTTCATTTTTAACAGGCTATCTAAAAATCCCTTTGAATTTCTCGGGTTTCATTCTGTTGTTTTTTGTGATATCATTATTTCACTAACATCTTTCACAGAGTAGACAGCATGTGAATTTCTAATGTTAAAACAGAAAAAATACAATTTTTTTAAAAAAGCAGTCTATTTCCCCCCCTTTTCTCCCTTTGCAGGTTCCTTTTGAGAAGTCCCATGTAAGAATTTAGTCACATTGGGAGGGAGCTTGTCAATCACTGAATTATTTAGATCCCTTAGGGCCACAGACTCTCTGTTCTTAGTGGGTGTTGAGGAATCCTCAAGCGGGTCATTAGACATGGAATTCTAATGGTCAACCCCCCCCCATGGGCCCACTTATCAGCATCCATACAGCCCAATGGCTGGAGTCCAAGTCTCAGTTCCCCTTTACCACGATATATATGGCCCGACTGCCAGAGTCCCAAATAGAGGTCCACTCTATAGGGGTTAATATGGCTCAGCAGTCTGGGTTCAAATACCAGTCCCCTCTATAGGGGTTAATACAGCCCTGAGGCCCAGTCCACAGGTCCAAGGGAAATGATTTCTGCCCAGGAGTGCTGAAGAAAGGGGGTAGGGAGACCCAGGCCCTCCCACTGCCCCGGGTCCCAGCCAAGGGGCCCTGTTGGAGGTGGCTCAGTCAACTGCTTGCTCAGCGACGAATCTCACTGCAACACACTGAGAGCCCACAGGACAGTCCTCCATCCTGGGCTACTTCCTACCATTTCTGGGGTGCTGCTTCGCTCTCGCTGCATCACTCAGGCCCTCACGGACGGCCTCTCTGGCCGTGGCTGCAGTTGAGGCTGCAGAGGCTACTGCTGTGGTGCTGCTGGTGCTGTTCTGGAGCTCAGGTTCCTTCCCTACTGGCAATCAGCCCTGAGTGAGCTGCGGCAGGGCCTTTTATACTCAGGCTTGCTGAGTGAGCGTGCCCAGCAGGACCGTGGGGGAGGGGCTCTTTCAGCCAACTGGGCCCAGCCCACAGTCTGTTCTACAGTGCGGAGCTGAGACACCCCATCACAGAGGACTTAAAGGGGGTTCTAAGATCTCTAGTAGGTGCTCCTCAAGCCTTACCTGGGCTTGTGATCAGGCCCAGAATGTTTTGCAGAGACTGGGTTCCATGCAGATGATGAGGCCTCATTCCAAATCATCTTTCATTGTCATCCAAATGCTGGGCAGAAAAACACATGCTGAGTGTGTCAACATTTATTTTACTTGCTCTCCTCCTCCACTATTCTTTCTTGGAAAGGGGATTAAAGACAACAGCCGGGGAAGTCCATTGGCATATAGTTTCTGCTATAGTTGTGAGAAGACCTGAAGCCATGTGGAGGCTCCAGCACCTCCATGGGGATAACTCTGGTGGCCTATCCAAGGTCTGC